GCTGATTTCAAATCACATGCTGATAGATGCACTGAAAAAATGGAATTGAGTAGGACGCAGGGCATAGGCAAGACAAGACACTGTATGTCTCCAGTAAGAGAACACTCTTGTCCCCATGCCAGTTCTGTGGGCACCAGTGCTGGGTACTGAATCACAGAGAGGTGTTGGATCACGGCCTAGGAGACAGGTGTGTGGAGACTGGGGCTTTGTCCCTTTCATTCAGCAGCTCCCATTAACTTCACAGGTCTGCATTTTCAGGTCACAGAACAGGAGCAGTGCTCCAGCTGTGAGGTAATAGGAACCTGAATCAGGGTTCTTAATTGCATGGAAGATACTATGCAGAAAGGAGCCTTTAACAGAGACATAACCAAAGCATGAAGAGCTAAACAGAGGCTTGAGTTAAAAAAAAAAAAAGCCATACGTTTTGCCTGAGTCATAGTCAGGATAGGATATTCTGCACTGCCCAAGGGCAGAAAAATAGCAGAAAAGCTTAAGAGATGAAGTTCTCTTAAAGCTATCCAAAGGACAGGATTTTGCCAAAATAACTGCAGCATAAAAATACCCTTTCTTCATTTGACTTATTAAAAATTCTCTATCTAAGCCCTGAATTAGTAGACTTGTCCAGGCTCATCACATGTTTGAACACCTCCCTGTGCACTTGTTCACATCCAGATGCCCAGTCATATGTAGACACAGTCATATGAACTCAGAGTGGCAAGACTCATTTGGACAAACTGACAAATTGCTGATCCTCTCTGAAACTCCCAAGAAGTCTAGACAGATCTGTTGTAGGGTGTAAGTACTTTTGATAAAAGGTCTCTTTGTGACTACAAAAACAATCACCCTCATAACAAGGATTGAGTCTAAAAACCGAGAGACCTGAGAGAAGTGAAGTGATGATGGTGAGGTATTCACATTTTAAGTGAGAGATGACAGAAAATGTTAAGAAACATTTAAATCAGAAGGTCTTGTAACATTAAGGGAAAGGAATGGAACTCTTCTAAACATCGTACCTTGCTGTGCTTAGAATTTTTATTTCAAGAAGAGAAACCGTGGGACCTGAATTTGGGAAAGGAAACTTAAGAATTATTTTTCATACAATCAAATCCTTAACGTTGGTACATATCAAATATTTCTAAGGAGTGAAGTTGTCCTTGAAGTTTCCCAACACACTATTAATGCAACAACAGATGTAATTTAACACCGAAAGTACGCATCATTCAAATGCAACATTAAATACTTTATGATAATACAACATTCTTCACATTCCTTGCTAAGTCAGGAAAGAAAGGTACAGAGGCAAAGCAACTTACCCATGTCGCACTAAGTCTGAGCCAGAAGGGAAAAGAAGATGCAGATCCTTATTCCTGTTATTAGACAAAGGGTGTATTTTTGATGCCTAACATAGCAAAAGAACAACTGTATGCTAGGACTAAGTTAAGAACCTTTGGGCAGTAAGTTCCAATTCTTTGTTAGGCAAAGATATTAGGCATTCATCACTATGCATTTCAATAGTTTGTCTTTTGTAAAGACATTTTTTCTGGGTAACAATGTAATCATTCATTTCTTTATAACAACACAGTAAGTTACAATTATGCATTTAGTAGAGATGATACTATGCATTTTTTGGTTTTCTCATGCCCCATCATCTGTTAATGACTTTTTCTTTTAATACTGTCAGATAGCGTTTCTAAAACCAATGATATCTACTACTTTAAACATGTATTTCCTCTTAAAAAAAAAAAAAAAAAAAGTGAAAAATCAAGGTTCTTCAGCTAGCTACAAAGCTAAGAGATCACATTCTTCTTAAATCCCTCAGTTCTTCATTAACATACAGGAATATTCTCACTCTATTCCTTCCTTTTTCCTGTGTCTTTGTGTATTTATTTGTGTAATGATTCTGGATATTTCACTGTTTCCTCATGGAAGGAATAAAGCACACAAATACTTCAAAGCACAGACTTGGAATGTGTCATATAAAATGCTTTTCAAGCTACATTGTTCTTGTTTACTTTGCATTTGTGGTTGCTTTGCATGCTATACAGATATACAGGTCAAATGAAATGATAACTGTGAGACTGCATTGTCAAGTCTGGGTGGAATTACAGGAAGGACAAAGCAACTTCTAACAGCAACAATGAACATACCTTTTATCAGCTCTTAGGTCTCGTTAGAAAAGGGGACAGTTTATGTAATATTTGAAGGGCAGGAATACAAATCTATCATAAATAAGTTGTCCTGAATAAAGGCATGTTTCTATATAATGAGCAGGGATGACAGCTTGGCATTTTACATATAAGAATCATGGAGAAAACAAATAAAACCACAGGAGCTATATATATATATGCAGGTTTAAAAAAGATTATTGAAGACCAATCCTAGGGGGGTTCCTTTTAATTCAAAGGTTTTCTAATTGCTATTGCCCTGGAAGAGAGAAGTATGGCTCATCATTACTACTGGTTTGTGTTCATATCCAAAAAACACTGGAGGAGTTACAAGGTCATGGGAGGTGGCTTAGGATGGATGGAAGAGGAGGATTTGTTTTGCACTATGCCAGTCTGATATAATTTGAAAACTTGCCATAACTTCTACCAGGTTTCATTTACAAAGTTCCATTCCTCTCTTGTTGTTAATAACCCAGAAAGTGTAGCATAAGAACTTTCCAAGTAGGAAAGGAAAAAGGAAAAACCCTCTAAAAGAGATTAAGTTTGCTATTTGCTAGTTACTTCTCTATTAAGAAAGAGCCTCAGTACCACATTAAATGTGGCCACAATGACGGAGGCAGCCTGTATCACTGAAAGCATGTAAACTTGTGGCTTGTAAAGTCCGTCTAATCTACTTATCAAACTCTGGGTAGAATTTAAGATTCTAACTGGTATAAGTCTCAAATGATATGAGTCAGAGATTACCAATCTCCTCTCACGGTAGTTCTACCAGTGCATTCAAGTTACGTAAAACCTAGATTCTCTTTATTGTAACAGAGACCAGGAAGGAACAGGATGTTTTCTGATGTTGGCAGGTTCCTTGAATTGGATTTTCCTTTTTTTCCTTTTTTTTTTTTAAATATTCAGAAAGCAAACATCTAATAAGCATCTGTTTGAGAAGGCTTCATGAGAGGACTGAAGTTCAATGGAAAGAAAAGTATCCTATATACATATAACTGGTTGAGACGCATTAAAATAATTCAATGAAAAATCTTGTGACTTAGTTGTAGCGATATGTCTGGATGCCTAAAGTCCTGGAACTTTGTAGTTAAAAATTTAGATACACAGTAGTAGTAGATAACATGCTTATAAGGCACAGAGTAATTCTTACTGAACAGAATTCTAAAGGACACAGCACAACACACACTTATTGCTGTTATCTTCCTTAGAAGCAGCATGAACTTCCTGGGGTTGACTCCAATTCAGGCATATTTGGATGGAGCAGTTTGTTACTATGCCAAGCTGGCCCACCCTTCTTCTGAAGGTTGTTGTCCTCTGAAGCAAGTATGGCTGAACCATGCACAAAGGAGTTCCTGAGCTGCCAAGTTGACAGTTCTTTTATGAAATGTTCGTTTATGAACATTTGCACCACTTAACTGTAGCGCAGCAGCTGGAAGTTGACCGTAAATTATGGCAGTACCTGAGCTGTTCCACATGGAATATACCCACTCTTGCTGTGAAAACAGCACTCTTCTGATAGGGAGTAGGACACATACTGCGAAGTAGCATCTGGTTTACCCGTTTGTCTTTAGTTCACTGCATGCAAAGCAACATATTCAGTGAGTCACAGCAATGACATGACTTAGAAACAAGCTGGCAGAAAAACATACATCTTTGTCAATTATAAAACTCCTCTTTTATTATGTCTTGAATACAGTGAACTGCATTCCAGCAAGCATAAACCAGGAAAGCAAATGACATATACCTGACAGATCAACATTGAAAAGCCATTAACAGAGCACTTGATTAATCAGGTCATCACAGCTGAACCATCTCCTTAAAATGTTTTCCTGCCTAAGCAGTCCTCAGATTGATGGGAGCAAGTAGGACAGCAGTTTCCAGGTAGGTAATAAGCAGGAGACTGAAACTCTGTTTTAAAGGACGGAGCTGCTCTGAGTAGGTAGCAGGACTGACCAGCCTGCAAGACAACAAGGCTTCAGAAGCATGGAGGCTGCACAGCCTGAAAACACTTCAAAAAAAAAAAAAAGATGGGTGGGATACAATGGCTAAATATTGTAACACCCAACTATTTTATAGCTTCTGTGGTTACACAAATTCTAGCGTCAACATTTGTTCCTTACTTTTCAGATGCATTTTTCTGGAACAGGAGACTTAGAAACACACCACCACCAAAGAGAAGACTCCTGAATTCCTATCACCTACTTTAAATCTGAGAGCATGCTCAGGAGAACCAGAGAAACTTGCTATGTTCTGCCCACAGAAACAAATGACCGCCTAAACCAAAGCAAACAGCTGAGTGATGAGTATTAGCGTAGGCTACAGTGAATTTCGGATTACACAGACCTGTTGACAATCAGTTTATAGAGACACTGTATAAATGGAATTGTTTTGTATGAGTAAACTCTCAGAACACCATGTATTATACAGGGAAAAAAAATAAAGCTGTAAATGAGAGGTTTGACAGATTGCAATCTAACACAACACTGATGCTTATCCACATTTGCAAAATCTGACATGTGCATTGCCACCTTATTTCACAAAAAGTCTCTGATACCATTTAATACACCTATCCAAGTATATTTCCTTCTCAGGTTCTTTTAAAGGACCTTTGTAAGAATATCAGAATCTATGCTACAGTATTGTGACATTTCTTAGATCCTCCAAGAAATAAGTAAGAATCTCTTTTTGGCAATGCAGAAACCTTTCCACCTGGATCTCCAGTTTTAACATTTCTATTAGTAGAAATCCACTCATTTTATCAGTGATCATCACCTGAGATTTATATACCCCAAATAAAAATGTAACTAATCATATTAATTTACAATTAAGATTTTCATATCAAAGCATCTCAGCAGTTACACACATACCAACACATTACTAATAAAATCACAGAAAGTGATGCAGAGCACAAAGCACTATCTTAACTGTAGTATTCCACAGTAGGCTGATACTAGCATGGAATGCAGGAGTCAGCTGGTGCAGAACATACAACACTAAAATGAGGCTTTTATGATAGAAGTAATTTTAATTATTTAAGGAGACTAAACAGATGTAAGAACAGAAAAGACAGTATTTCCCATATCAGAGTATATCCCATCAGCTGGCACTCAGGAGATGCAAATGGCTCCTAAATAAATTCAGATCAAGTACCCGAATTTTGCAGTCTGAATCAATTTTTGTTAAATACTACATATATTAAACACCTATTCCTAACCTGAAAGACAACAGTAAACACCTGCAAAACACCAGTGATTTGTCATTGCAGTTTCTCAGTAAAAAAAAAAGTGTGTTTCATAAATCAACTGGAAAAATATATGCCTCATTACTGCAATTAGCTTAAACGGAATTTTCTCATATGGTACTGGCAAATGCTTTTAATCTTTCTAGGACAGGAAACATAAAAACTTAACAGAATCACGTAGAAGAATGGCAGTGTCTGGTTACACAAACATAATCAGGCTTTATCAGCAGCAAGACACTACTTGCTTGAATGTCTGATGAGTTCTGAATCATCAACTCTAAATCTTTCTCTACTGCCAACACAAAAACCAAGGAGTCGAAATAATTATTAGCAAACTTCTATTGGCAACAACATTCATTCCAAGCTTTCTTTTCTGCACTAAGGTTATTTCTTAGATTTCCTATGCAAAACTGGCTAAAGAATTCTCTTTCTATGTCACAGCCATCTGTGCCATCTGTCCCATCTGTTAGGGATAATGAGCACCAGTAAAGAAGTCTCAAACCAACTGCCAAAAACCCCATATTGGACATACCACCACTAATTGAAGCAATTAATAGTATGATGCAGTAGAATAAAAGAGAAACAAAAGTTGTGACCCTATACAACTACTAATTATATTAGAAATAGATACACTTTTAAAATTTGTATCAGCTATATTGAAAAATATTCTCTACTTATGTTTAAACTTTGGAGAGTTCAGGGCTTCATTTACTTTGCATCCTGCAAAGTCTGCAAGTGGAGTAAGTCAACAGCACTTATCATCTGTAACTCCTTCTCTTGCCAGAAGTTCAAAGACAACAAATACACCTTCCCTCTTTCTGCTTGAAGATGGAAGCTTTAAGCACACTCTGAAAAGAAGCTGGCATGTGGTACCACTCCAAACCTCTTCAGCATCTTTTCTCCATCTAAAATTTAATCCTACAAGTGAAGCACATGAATAATTTAAAAAATACAATTCAAAATATATAAACTGCATAGGCTCACCATCACCCTTGACAAAATGGTAACGGAAACCCAATATAAATTAACTTGATTAACTTCCCATTTTCCTTACTTACATGTTTAATCGTGCTACAATGCTATGTACTGTCTGTAAGTACATCAATACACTTTACAAGCAATACAGTTTCCCTTGGAAGGTTGAACAGCAGAGCTGGTTGTGGAACACTAGCCTCTGTCTCTACATGCCTGTAAGAACTTTCTTGCTACTATGTGATGGTTATGTATGTGTTTCCACTCCAAGCATCTCTCTAGTGATCAGCCCTTATATGCTGAATTCTGCTCATACTTGACTAGGCTCCAGGTTGCATTCTGCATGAAGCAAGCATTTTTAACCAGTGCATCTGACTGGGTTTTTTTTCCTTCTCTTTGAATGACTGGGCAATATTTGCAAACCAAAATACAAACTACTGCTATAGAAACAAGGATTTAAAAACCAGTCTCACTATATATCTGCCTTACCCAATTCCTTGATGAGTATCTCGGCAGATCTAACTTCTCTAGTGCAACTCTCTGTAGTTGTCTGCACGTCCACTTTTCTACCCTCAAACAGCTCTGTGACAAATGCTTCTGTCATGTTTAACCCTGAGAAAGTACTTCCACCCAGCAATTTCTCTTTTCCTGTAATTTTTATTTTGCCAATTTAAAAGCAGCAGGTTGGCTCTGTGAAAGGTTTAGTTTGTTCAGCTGCTTCTCCCACAACTTTTTAATAGTCCAGTGTTTGCTGAGGCTGTCTTTACTGTTAGTGAGGTCTTTTTTTAGTCAGCCTTGTTCATTTAACTGATAAATCATGCAGACCATGTAGCAATTGTTATTAGAGCCATTACATCTGGTCCAAACCCTCTAATGTGCTTAGCTGTTTGCTCTTAGAGAGAGCTAAACAATTAATAACTACAAATACACATCTGCCTCACTCCTTTCACCCCAAACATTCTCTTTGAACTGTTCTTTGTCTATGTATCTTTGTGTGTAGTTGTGGACTAGCTCAGTTAAGAACTAAAATCATGACATATGCTTTCAACTTTTGAAAAAGTCACTTCTAGAAATTAATACATTTTGCATTAGGCTTATGAAACATTATCCTTCTACTGAAATATATGAACTATATATAAACTATGATCTAATTGTGATGACTATTTACCTGAGCCCTTTTTTTAAAGCCTGAATTGTCCTTCTGGTTTATATTCCATTTTTGTAATAATAACCTGTTTGAAAGAAAAACAAAACCCAAAGAATTACAGCAGCTTTTCAAAGAGAAATATAGTAGCTTTGTATCTTTGTTTAGCCATGCCTCCTGTGACAGAAAATCTTTTCACTGAGGAGATATAATGCATTTTAAAACTCATTGCAAGTACTTTTGCTCACTATTACTTTTGAAATGGCACTTTCTGTTTCTGGATTGGCAGTTAGGAAGTGTAGCAATGAAGAAACATAAGGATCATACAATTTGACTGTCCTTCGATCCAGTTCTAGGCAGGTATCAAAGCTAGCTCTGAATGACACCAGAAGCAGCAGGGAATGGTGTGCCACCTGAGCCAATTCAGTTTACTGAGATACAGATGACATGCAGTGCCAACAGGGCTACGCTGCTTCCAGGAAATGGCTTAGCTCATCTGGAGTCTGCTGGGACACCTCAACATTGCACTGTTGTCTGTTACATAACTGTTAACAGAAAAGGGAAAAAGAAACTTTATGTTGAGAGAGGACACTGAAAAGAAAGGGAGAAACACCTGAAGAGTGTTGGCAGAACATTCTTATTCTACGGAGAGAAAAGAAAGCTGAAAATTACAGTACAGAACAGAAGAGGGGAAGACACAGGACAAATTCTGGTGGGCCCATGACTTAAAAGGGAAAGAAAAAAGATTAACAAATTACACTGGAAAGCAGAAGAAGACTGAGAGGAAAATTATTTTGTCAGATCCTTCAGAAATCAGGAAGTGTAAGAAGAGTGAAAAGGAAAGCTTAGGGAATCTGCCCAGAAAAAGGCTAGTAGAAACTTTACAGTTCTTTAGAGGCAAAAAGAAAGGCAGATTGATGGGAACTTCAAAAGTAAATGGGTTGCAATGGGATTGTTTGAGAACAGAAGAAAAACCTCACATTATTTCATGCAGAGAACATAATTCTAGCAAAGAATGGATGATGATGCAGTGAGAGAAGTCAGGATGATGTAGAATAGAAGAAGCCTATACAGATTTTGGAAAATAAAAGTAATTTGCATTTCCAAGTAACAAGTCATACTAAAGGAAGAGGTATTAAAAAGAACATTGCATCACATTAACGAAGAGTAAAATTTCTCTTTTAATAATATACATGAAGAGAAATACATTGGTATGGCGGATGAACTCAGTGAGGAGAGGAACAACTTAATACAACTTCTTTGACATAAGAATGGAGGGACAACAACCAAGAGAAAACAACAGCCCTGAAGTTTAACACATTGTTAGAATCTGCTCAAATCCTTTAGCATGGTAGCTAATTGTGTAAGATCTTAAAACTAAATCCCTCTAAAGCAGACATCTTACTTGCATGTCATTTTCCAAGCCTCAAACCCCACTAAAATTGACAGTACAAGAAACAGCAATTCTTTTTTTTAAATAGCAGATGCTGGAAGTCAGATGTTCTTGTCTTCCTTTCATGAAATAAAAAAGCAATTATTGAAAGATTCTTAATACTCACCTCAAAGATTTTGCCTGCTTTAAGAAACTTCTAGCTTTTGCTACTTCTTGAGTAAGTTTCTTTAAATCATCTCCTTCAAAGTAAGGGAAAACTGGATCCTGAAAACAGAATTAAAATATTCTACTTGCACCTATTTATTATTTTCAATTTCTACCAATTTAATTAACTGAGCCTAAGCTCTAAATCTCCTTATTCCTATCTACTTGCAGAGAAGGTCTTGGTCTTACAAAGGGAGAGCAGATCAACGTTGGACTGAATATAGTTCTGTTCACTAACATATTTTTCTGCTGTGGCCATCTCCGAGGTCTCCTGCTGAAGCACTAACGTGCTAAATGCTGTATAAGGATTTTACAATTACATAAATGAACTACAAGATTGTAAGGATAAGAAGGTACTGTAAAAGCTAAAGGTAGCTTAAAACCCACAGTGTCCAGATACACTTTTGCTTCTCTTTCAAAAACTGTGCTGCATTGTGTACTTCTGTCATGGGTTTGGTCACCTGACCAAGGCAGCTAGCAGAAAGGCAAAGCCAGATATTAAGGTTTCCTCCTTTCAGTTTCAATGTGAAGTATCTTAGGAGTCTTGTGTTAATTTTTCTAATGATTTTTCTTTTTTAAATGTAGTTTGACTACTGTTGAAGAACTAAGTGGAAATGAAACAAAACCAAACCCAACAAACCCAATCTATTTAACATACATCTTCATCATCAAGCCCTTCTGTCAACATTCTGTGTGCTGCTAATTGTCCATCCACATCTCCAAAGCTGCAATGGTAGCGCCCTCCTGTCTGGGAAGCAAGCTTCTTCAGAAATTCATTAGCTCCTCTGTTAACAACAAAGTAAGAAGTTACTTAGGAAAATGATTTATCTGAAAGCTACAATGACAGAAAAAGAATTTCTAAGAATTCCTAAAAAAAATTACAGCCAAACAGTTTGGAGGACATGATTATAAACTTCTGTATTATTTCTAATTGTCAATTGCTAATGAAGAATATAGACTGCTTAGCTGTCATAACCTCCAAAACCAGGCTACTTTTGGACAAGAAGTTCAGTGTAGCAATAGAACCAAAAAAAAGAAAGCAAACCAAGAAGTCAGCTGGCAGGTGAAGGACAGTAACATTTTACACAGGGGAAAAAACCTGAAAGCTAGGAGACTCCATAAAGGGAAAGAACTTTCTGTGCATGTCCCGTATTTTATTCTCTAACCTAAACATCTGTTACTTGTCCAACAAGAATCATTGGGATAACTTGTACAGTTGTTGTTGTATTTTGATTGCAAGTATACTAAATCACCCACTTTTACTGCCATTTATACAACATTTGAAAATTCTGTCTGCCAAGCACTAGCACTGCAAAGTCAGAAATAGTCATAAATCCGTTAATTTCAAGTAAGCTTCAAGAATCAATTCTGTTCTAGAACTGGACACTAAAATCTCCACAACTAAGAGATTTCTCTGAAAGGAAGCAGCAGATTTTGTTTCAGAGTAACTCACAGTCAGAATTGACATCTTTCTCCCTTATTAGCAGGTTTCCTTAACAGACAGTTATTGGCTACTGATCAGTTCACCAAATGATATGCAAATAAATTAACTCCAAATATTAATAATTAAAAGACTTTTCATAAATACTTAAAAGTTGGCTTTTTCAACTTAGGACCAATAATTCAAAGTTATTACCAGAAAGAAAGATATACAAAAGATTTCAAAATTACTCTTTTCCTGTCAAACCTCACTTCTAAAATCACAAAAGCCACAAACTATGTATCAAGTGGTCTAATACTTCTCCCCTTAATGGCTTGAAAGATGACATTCAAACTGTCGTCCTTTGAGGGATTTAGCTTTAATCTACTAGCTACCATAGCAGTATAGTATCTGGCCAGTTTAATTTGGAGCAGTAATAAGAGTTTTGAACCAAATCCCCCACTTATTTTTGTCTGCCACATATTGGTTGGCTCACAGTTGCTCTGTTGTGTGCAAACTATACTCCTTTAGTAGGAGGCTAATCTAGAAACTCCAGTACACATATGCTCTCAACACTTATCAGGCATTAGTGTGGTAGTATTACCACAACATTCTCCAGTGTACACCTAGCAGACATGCCCACAGATGTCTCCCTATTTTCTTATGACTATCATCTCTCAGACTTCCTTGAGATTCTGCTGGTCTTTCCTCATACATCCTCACTCCTGATTTGAAATATTTTGCCTTTCCTACGATACTATTTTCTGATGCATGTTCACCTTCCTGAGCCTTTTATTTCTTCTACTTTTTAATCTCTTTTTAAGCTCTATTCTCTTTTTAAGTCTAATCTCTCTTTAAGCACATTGTTGTGGCATCTACCCCACAGGATGCAATCTAGGACCTAATAAAAAAATCACTGCTTGTCACTCTGTGCTATGAGAGGGTCAATGCTATCTCATGGCTGCTGGATAACCCAACAGCATTATCCAGAAGTTGTTAACCTTGTGACTGCCACTGGGACAGGAGGGTTGGCAGGCAATGCTGCATTCGATTCAAGAATAGAAAGGCCAAGTTCTTGAAGACCTGTGATAACTGCATTTTAAAGTGGCAGAGTGGACATGCACCTAGTCTAGAGAGCCTGAAGAGCTGGTGGCCTTTTTGGCTATCTGCTCCCCACATCACACAGCCACAAGCAGGAATGAGCATCTAGAGCACATACTTTTTGGTATTGTCCCATGGTCTCCAATTCTGGATCACGCAGATCCCTGAAAAGGAACATCCATAGATATATCTTTAACCTACACCCCATCATGGCTGGCATTAGCACTTTCCTAGTGCTCCTGATTCCAGTCCAGGTAACTATTAACTTTTCATGCCCCTACAGAATCATAGACTGGTTTGGGTTGGAAGGGACCTTAAAGATCACCAGTCCCAACCCCCCTGCCATGGGCAGGGACACCTTCTACTAGCCCAGGTTGCCCAAAGTCCCGTCCAACCTGGCCTTGAACACTGCCAGGCAGGGGGCAGCCACAGCTTCTCTGGGCAACCTGTGCCAGGGCCTCACCACCCACACAGTGAAGCATTTCTTCCTTACATCCAATCCAAATCTGCCCTCTTTCAGTTTAAATAGGCGTAAGGATGTGTATATGATAGAACTACAGGAAAGACCTCAGTGCTGCAGACTAGTGATACATATCACTTCTCTGTGTGCATGAAGGTAACTCTCTCAAAGACATAAGCTGTGGGAGATGAAGGCCATGTGGCAACTACCTGTGTCAGAACAGCCTTCCCAGTTCCTGCACGTATGAATGTCTAGCTCAATCCTGGTGTTTAGTGAACTGAGCATGTAGCACTTTTTGGTAACACAGCCTTTTGACAATAAATAAACCAGTAATTTTAAAGATTTTTTTTGTTGTTCTTGTAAAGTATCATATACCTGTCTGTACAGCTAAAAGAAATGGTGTGGATTTTAATATCTTGTTTCTTTCTCAATCTTCCAGTTTCTTTAAAAATCAGACTGCAACTGGTGTCTGGTTTTCCATCAGTCAATACATACAGTGCCTCTACACCTTGGAAACTGAGAGCCTTCTGAAAAGCAGAAAATAAGCTTAAATAATTAGTACAGTTATATGAAAAGTTATTCTTAAGAATAAAACTGCTATTCCAGTGATTTGAGATAGCTTTATATTTACCACATCATGAATCAAGTTAGTATTGTCTTTTCCTTTTCACTAAGTATGAAAGAGATCAAGGATGTAATTTTGAAAAATAAACAAGTAGATAATTTGTAGCACAAGACCATATATTCATAAACAGGGCATCACCAAAACCTGCCTCACTGTAATAAGCAAATTATCTGGTTTTGGAGAACTGCTGACAGATTTTTACATCACACTTTGTGGGAGTTAAAGATGCTTAATGTCTGAAAATCGGGCTTACTAAGACTTGGCATTTTTATATTGTGAAAACTTGCTATGGTAATTGACTCAGTGGACATTTTTGTAATACAGACGTGCCTTATGGTTCTATTGGACTTGATTCACCATAAAATCCATAAAGAGATTCTGCAAGGCTGTCTAGAACAGCAACTATTAATTTAAGGCAAGATTTGGGTTTTGATTCAAATTTTAAATCTCATTAAGTTGCAAGTTCCTTCGGTCTCTGTTTTATTATTACGAGTTAATTTCTACACTGAGAATCTTTATAGGAGAAAGGTTTCTTCATCTGTTACTGAAGTTCCAGAGTTGTACTCAATGCCGATGTGATTCCAACAAACACTGTTTCTTTAAAATCCCTTTTTGGCTCAGAGCAAGTATTTCACAGCCACAGTTGTACATAACCGTAATTTTGAGCAACTGGCTATTTTATCTCTGCAGTATTCTTTGAGCACAAATATCAATGCAACTACTGATACTTCACATTTTTCTTAAATTCAGTACGAGTAATGAATTCTAGTACCTATGAGCCCTGGGGACAGAACAATGGCTTGATTCCAGATCTGTTCAGCATTTTGCACATAAAAGTGCTGCATGCTTTGACCTAATAATTTTCCTAAAACATTACCAGTCAGATGGAAGTGTTTTATTACCACAAGACATGATGTCTTCTCCAAAATATGGTACACAATTTACTAACCTGTAAAGCCATAAGGATGCATGTATTACCATGAGCGTGGGATTTGGACACCCACTGCACAGCATCATGACATGTTTCATCAGTTGCCTTTACGAGACACTCCTTCCAACTCTCTGTATGTTCTGCAAATCTCAGCAGGTTAAACCTAAGGAGAAAGATGCCCCACAACATTTATCCCCAACCTATACCATCAGTCACTTCCAATAAGCCAGTTTTGAAATAAATAAAACCACCCAAACCAAACCCAAACCCAATTAAAAAAAAAAACAACAACAAAACAACCCAAAACAAACAAAACCAAGATTCTAGTGTTGGAATAAGATCTTCAGGTTTGGGAGAGTCAGAAAGCATATCTCGCTCTCTGTGAACAGAAAATCTATGCCAATGCTGAGCCCAAAAGGATAAAGAGTGTCAGCCTATGGCAAGTGAAGCTCAAATCTTAGAGAGCTGAGAATTAAAAGCTGGTTAAAAAAAAGAGCAGAAAAAGCAGTTCATGTCACATGCATATTATGCACTAACATATAATTACTTGTACTGCATTTCAGTATGGTATTATTTGTAATTATTAAGTAATCATATTACATAATAAGTAGAGCAGATTTCAGTATTCATCAGTAGTTTATCATACCTGACTTCATTTTTTCTCAGCTGTTCCCAGATAAGAGAGGCAAGTTCTTTTGTGATATGTGGCAAATATGAGTCCATAGAACCAGAGGTATCAATCAAAACACAGATATTTGCTTCTAAAATCGTACCAAACAATCTTCGGCTTCCTGGGCCAGAACATTAAAACTACTTCAGTGTCATTACACAGACATTTTATTGAACGTATGATTTTATTGAGCATACTGTTAGGGGTTATTCTGGGCGCATTTCTACATAATAAATTCTGTCAAAACTAAGTAGTTCAAAGGTTAGTAAGAGAAAAGTCTTTTGCAATTAAAAACTAGCACTATCAAGTGTTAATTACTAGCGAACTTGCATTAAACAATCTGTAGCTTCTACTTCACAATCCAGCAAAAAATTTAAACTGCTTCCCAAAGATCTTCATGAGCAACAGAGGGATCAAAATACTTTTTCACCAGCAGTGATGCTGTAATTCTAAATAGGGCACATTCTTAGCAAAAGAAACAGAAAAGCTAATTTTGCTTGTATATTTATTGTATACATTCTGTTGACAAAAGTTTCTGACACCAGAAACCTTGTATTCAAGAACACAACATACAAAAAGGAAAAACTTACATCGCAGCCCTTATTATTTCACAGCAAGCTAGATGTTTATCAGCTACACAGGTGCAGAGTTATTTTGTAGTTTCATAAAAATACTTTTAAAAATTTCAATAAAATACAAGATGGATGACCTTTACTCATATTTGAGGTCCAGATTTATTCTATTATGAATAGTAGACAAGAAGATTTTTATGTATGTTTAAACTGTGCTTTATAGAAAAACATATGCACACAATACCTGACAGAAGCCACTGTATTCTTTGTATATAGCGCTGCAACACTTTCTCCAGTTGTTCAGTGTAGACTTCCAGTTCTTTAGACTGAAACTGCAAATGTTTCACAACCCCCTGGAAAAATTCCGTTTGTACAAGAGCAACTTACTTCAGGAGATTTGAGCTCAGCTGCTAGATACGCAATGTCTGAATTAAAAATCAGGGAGATTAGTTCTTTTGTCTTTACCTCTATGAAATAGGTAGGAAAATTTCTGCAACTCTGTTGCTTCTAAATAATGGGTTTACCCAAATTAGGAAAGCCTAGTTCTCATCTCAGCAAGTTGAGCTGGGCAACAAAATTATATAATTGGACTGGACAGGTGCATCTGTTGCATTGATTTATAGATATAATGGAGTGATAATATCCCGGACTTAACTTTCTACGCTTCTCTCCAGTCATTACACAAACTAAACCAGTTAAGATCCACCATTTCCCCACTTTTGACTCACATATGATTTTTAAAAGCTTTACTTAAAATTTTAAAATTATGATTCACACTGTATGAGCAGAGGAGATGCTGTATGTTCTAAGGATCCCATGCAGTTTGCATTTCAAACATACTAAGTATTCTTTGTGGTGAATAAAAGACATTCTTTAGCTTTCTAATAGAGGGGTGATTTAAAGAGAACAGGGAATAGTGGAGGGAAAAATCACACTACCAAGCTACAAACATTGATCAACATGCATTGTCTTAAACAAAGCCTTTCAACATTGTAGGTATATGACATCTGCAAAAGCTTACATTGATTTCTACACTCGGGAAGATAGTACAGTATTTTGCTGATACTTTCTTGTGCAGAGACTCCACAGCTTTCTTTTGGTGAGTACAGCCTGGACCAAACATCAGTCTGGGCAATTCCAGTTTAAGCTTTTTAATACTGTACTTGGTCAGCCACTTGTAAGACAAACAAATGTAGCAATTGGTTGTTAGTAAATATTAGAATAGTTTAAGTAACAATAAATTGTACAGAATCACAATTAACGTGTTCACATTAATTCATATGGATAATTCTAAAACTGCAGTTTATCAGGAAGGAGCAAAATACCTCTTTGCTTGAACAGATTTCCTCTTTTTTTGGCAATGTAACAGAAGGAACAGACTTTCTTATGCATGTTATCTTTGGATACTTTCGGTATACTGTACCTAGTTAAGAAAATGAACAAAGTAATATTGGAAGCCCTAGCTTTAAATCATAGCCTCTTTGAATCACATACAACCGTTGATTAAAAAAAAACAATGCCAAACAACAACAACAAAAAAACAAACCCACAGACTAGCATTTCACATTTGAAAAAACCACAAAGTTTCTATATATCAAAGTACTTTAAAAAATCACTTATTTCTAAATTTGTCACCTTTAAAAAATTCCATATGAAATCTACTGTAATCATCTAAACCATCATGACAGGATTTTTGACCAAAAGATCCCAAAGCACTTAAAAAACCCAAACCACCCAACAAAACAAAACACCCAAAAAAACAAAATAAAAAGAGCCAAGAAGAGTCACTCCCCCTAAACCAAATATCAAACAAAAAAAACCCACCACTATTTGGTAAGTGAAACTCACTTCCACTCACTTTTAAAGCACACTGATTATCAGTGAGTTAACACCCTAACAGCTTCATGATAAAAATGCTGATAAAAAGGCTTCAGCCATCAGATCCTGATAACACATACCCACATGTCTTCCTTTATCAGTATAAAATACTGACACAGAGAACTCTGGCTGCTTCCTTGGTTTATGCTTTCTTTTATTCTCAGTCTGAGGGAATTCTTTTATTGCTTGTGCTACAAAAAAAACAAATTGTTGACCTACTTCAGCTAGATAAAACTCTTGCATGTAACCCTGTTCTTGAGTTCGTAATTTTCCATTACCACAATTATAAATTAGATATTAGATACTTGTTAAGAAAAACCCATATTTTACAAATAATTATGCTACTTCCATACAAATGAACCAAAGCCTTTACAAATTTATAAATTATGATCAGGAAGAATGTCACAAGGGGATTAGGAGTTTACAATAAGCATAGTATTTGTTGGAAAAGCCAATTAACATCGTACAAAGCACCTCACATGCAAATATGGATCCAGATTTGTAAACACTGCTACATATCAACAATCTCATTTCAATAAATCAGATTTCAAGACTCAGATTTAATGACAAAAATATTTGCAGCTGTTAGCAAAGATGCAAAGAAAAAACCACAGGAAAATTAGAGAAATGGAAGAAAAAAGGAATTGGACTTTAAGAGACCAACAGTCACTGGAATCATTTTAAGAGCTGTTTCATATACCAGGAGCAGTTGCAAGAGTCAGCACTTGCAAGAGTCAGTTGCAACTCAGCAGTTGCAAGAGTCAGCAAGAGATAGTTGCAAATGTCAGATAACCTGACATTTATGGGTTTTCCTCCTTCACTACTGGATCATAAATAAATCAAGTGGAACAACATATTAATTACAATGTGATCTAACAGTATTAGCAGAACTATATATATTGAACTAATAACTTAATCAATTTCTGAATTGTTGAGCCTTTGAAAAAAATTGAGTATGAAATGAAAACCAAGAGCAGTAATTATGGCTTCTGGCAGGGGACAAAGTAGGGCTCTACTTTCCACCTCACACATTTAACATTTCCTGATATAGGATGGACAGTCAATCATGTGTCCTGGAAACAGTTACACAGTGTGCAGTGTTCCTTCTGCTTACAACCTAAAAGAAAGCTAGACACATTACTCATATCAAAGCAATTTCAAAGCCACTGCAATGTTTCCTATCAGTCTGATTAAAGATTGAAATTTCAAATGTTTCTAAAACTTAAATTAAAGCTCTAAGTTAATATTTTCTTTTAACTCAAAGAAACTGAAGACTAAAAGCCCCTAAACCATACAGACCTGGTGGAATTTCTGCTTTGGCACTAGTAGGACGCCATGCCAATACTCTTAGGGAAGCATTTCTCTCTGCACCATGGTTGTCTTTGATATACTAAAAGCACATATAATAAACAAAAAATGTTAAAAAGTATTTCAGTTGGATCATAACTGCATTCTTCAAAACTGTAACTATCTTTCATTATTCTCTAATTCCTGTTTGGCTCTTCTAACCAGCCAGCAGATTGCCATGACAACTTGTAATTTGTGATTTCTTCCTAGGTTAAGTAACTAATTGCTCTGTTTTAATTATCTTACAAATTTGATTTGCTGCCATAAAACTAAAGACTAACATCTACAGGCAGACAAATTTGGACCATTTTTTGTCACTGGAAGGAGCAGTCTAGTATGGTAATGGCACTGTTTTATAGAATATAGTATATAGTATTTTCCTCGGAGTTTTATTGAATATTGGAAGCCTAGTACTGACAACAGTAATTTTTCCTTTAGGTATGGCTCAACCCTCTAGGGGCTGAGCAGCCTGCTAAACAACATGAACACTTGTTTAACCCTACAGTAGGATCAGACTTTTGCCATGTCATGGAGACTTCAAGTCATCTAACAATATACAGCTCTACTATAAATATCAAACATCTACAGAGAAATCTGTCTCACTTTTCTACAAGTCTAACAGCTGTAAAACTATGCTATGCAGTCGTATCTCTGAGTGATGACTTTTTACCTGCTTTTGTGAAGAGGTGTTGAGAATATACTGGTTTTGATAAAATAGCATGGAAGACCTGTTTGAGCTTACCTACAACATGAACACACCTACACTTAAGAGTGACATTCCCATTTCAAACATGAGACCTGAAAATTTCAGGTCAAAAGTTAAGTATATCCTTTGCAATAGGCAGTTCTGCATCTAGTAATTTATACACCAAAATAGTGGCACTGCCCATATTACAGATTTGCACACCACTCAAAACTAACAAGGAAAACATTAGCAAAATCCCAAAAGATTCAATAGTGTAGCTCCATGGAAATAAGCACAGTGGACAGGAAACAAATCCTGAGTCCTGTTTCTTGTTTTATGCTGGCTCTCTGTATGGCCGAAGACATGCTACTCAGCTACAGCTGTCTCATCTGTAAATGGGCAGAATACCATAAAATTCAGTACTTGCTAGAAGAGCTTGTAAGATAGACTAACTTGGTAAAGCACATTTCTGCTTTGCATTTGTTTTCATTAAACACTGAATTTTTAAGGTCAGAGAAGGGACTATTTAGACAATTTTAGACACCACAATGTGGCTCCATTATAATTACTTACTTTGCAGGATTTAATAAGATGTACTTTTTTTGTTTATGTAACATTTTGAATGCAAAATAAAATGTAAATTCAGAGCACTATCACAGTGCTGTTTTAATTCTTTCCAATTTTCAGCCTAAGCACTTCTGTCACAAAGAGCAGCATCTGATAGTTGGGTAGGATCTCTAATAAAAACACACAGCGTATTAAAAATGGGACCATTTCAAACCATTCTAGCCAGACTCAGAGCTGTGGGTTTAGGAGATGGCAACTTCTGTGGCCGCCTTTTCTCTTTCTTCATAAGCATGTTTGAGTCTCCTTCAGGTATAAATGGACGAACAGACTGAGTTACCGAACGTTGCTTTAAGGATTCCACTAGGAATGCACACTGAAATGGAAGTTGACATCATTTAGTAATTCATATATGTGAAATTTAAGTACATGACATTTCAATGACAGGCATTCTGTATTTATTACTTTAATAATAATTAAAATGAATACCAAATTTATTAAATTGGTAATGCTTAACACCTGTAACTGAACAGAAACCCTGCTGTGCTGTGCTTGCTCAAACATATAGGAGAGAAATCCTTCCTACTCTGAGCAAACATTCTAAAACGAAAAGGCAACAGTACACATACCAAGACCAGAACAAACTGGAAGATGGTGAACCAAGTATATGCAACTATGAAATAACAAAATATTTTAAGATGCCATTGAATATCCACCAATTCTTCTTTTTAAAAATACTTCTGTGACTCAGACTTGCCTGCAACAAGGTACTCAGACCTCTGGACATGTATCTCACTGTACGTTTCTTTCTAATCACACTTCAGCAACAACCCCCATACTGCCAGGCTGGCTATACTGCCTCAGTCACTTTGTTAGGTATCTTTGGAAAAAGCCACGTGCATGTTATCTGGAGAGATATGGTCTAGTTCTACACCCTTGGTACACTTCAAAAAACAATTGTTTTAGAACTGAACAAAGGTATTGTACCAGTGACAAACCCTCCCTCCACTATGAGTTACAGGAACATATTATACATTTGCTATATATTTAACTTTCTAGTGTATTTATTTTTATACATATATAACAAACTTATTTACGAAGAATTCATCATAGGATTGGCAATAAAAAGGAGAATCACTTAAATTGTAAATTCCTTGTATTGGAGAAGGAATCATGGTCACTCCAACACCCATCACTGCAGTGATATTACACAACTGCTTTCTAGTCCATATTTACTCTACAATGACTATTCTCACACTCCAGAGCATTCCTGCCCATCTTACAAGGATTTTCATTTTGTCCAATCTTCTGCACTGTCAGCTGAACAAACACTGTTGAATTTTTTTCTGACTTAAAAAGATACACGTAATTCATACCTTTTGGGAGTAGTTGTTTGCTTTCTCCATTTCAGACACAATAACAGTGATATCATCACTTTCAAAAATACCTGATAATCAAATACATGCTAATCAGCGTGGGTTTTTTTAAGTGTGCAAAATGTATCTTTTTTTAAAGTCTACAATAATTTGTAGAACATGCGAAATATCAATGAAAAGAATCAAAAAGCCTTTGCTTCCTGTAAGACAGGCAGTGTGGACCTGTCACATTAGTAACTATATTTTAAATGTGCATCTTTAAAATATCTAGCAGACAATAGTGAATTTAAAAAAAAAAATCCTGCATTAAGGCTGCATTATGATATTCTGCAATACAACTGAAAGCCTCAATCAAACTGGGACCTCTGTTTATATCTCAGCGCTAGGATAGCATTATCACATCCTAAAAAAGTAAACTACTTGATTTGAGGGAAAAAAATTAATAAATATTATTTAATTAATGAAAGAGAACTACGTATTGACTATACTTTTCACATACCTTCTTCTCCAAACCAGTGAAATCTCCCATTGCCTGCTTGTACTATTTCTTTAAAAGCATTGGCAGTTTCAACTGGATTAGCATAGCGGGCTGGAATAATCCCACTGGAGTCAACATCCTCCATTACACTGAACAGACAGACATGAAGCTGCAAATCAAAACCTCTGCAAACCTCAGCCACATAAGCACTGACTGTGTGCTGTAAGACAGAGGGGAAAAAAAAATTACAAAAAGTCAGTAATGACCCTCTAACTCAGATGAGCTTCCATCTGCCCAGCGGCTCCTAAACTGATGTACAAACACTCCCAACCTGAGCAGTTCAGTACAGGAACGTACCCTGAGTAGCCGAATGCCTCAGTTCATGTATATACACAAAACCTGTTGCTATTACTAGTGACAATGGCAACAGCATTACTGCAGCCGAGAAGTGAGATTGGGTAACCATGGGACACAGGTCATGGACTTCAAGATAGTCTTGCACTGAGGCAGAGAAGTAGGGATGGAACTATCCATTTGGCTTTTTGTACGCACCCTCTGTTTTCCTGTTATCTGCATGGCATTTTAATTATTTCTTAGGTTTGCCCAGAATTTCTAGAAGTTTGGTAACAAAAGCAAGAGAAACCCTGCTGTACACGCATGGTTTCTCCAGCTGGATTACCATATGTTCAGAAGCTCCAGGCTGTGCACGTGCCTTAACAGCCACAGATCACATGTACTGCAAACGTATATCCGAGCAATGGATTACTGTTATTAAAGACAGGAGTTGTCTCTACATAGTGTACTACAGAGCTTCACTGTAAAATTATTCATGACTTTGTTCCCACGAGTTATTAGGAAATTATATCATACAAGATCAGAATCAGTTTGTTCAGATTCACAAATCTGTGGTGAAATGATGGCCAGAGCTGGAGTGGGAAAGGAATCTTAAAAACATTTCTTGAATTTTCTATGATTCACACATTATTAATAATTGCTACCTCCAACACACAAATAATGATTGCAGAAATGGAACTTTGAGATCCTAATAGTTGTGCTGGCTTAGATATGTAAAGGAGAAGTATTCTGCCAACAAGCTAAGGTGACTAGCCAAAAGAATAAATTAAAAAAAAAAGAGAGAAAATAAAGTTGAGATTTATTCTGATAGGAACTTACAGAAGAGTTGCAAAGCCTGTGATGATACTTACTGCTTCCTGATCAGGTATTCCAGTAGTCAGCAGGTAAAGTCCTTGTGATTCATGTTTATCTTTGTCTTTGAAGTCTACTTCCACAGCTCTCCTGAGAGCACTCATGAAATTCCTACTCCCTTTGCACTGCAAGCTCAACACCCACCTGAAAAAAGATGTTTACAGTTAAAAGAATGAAGCAACAAAAGCTTTTGGTTTTGCTAAAGCAATAAAGAGAAGAATCTTAAATAACACTGCACTAGAGTCTAAAATTTTTGACAGAGAGCAAAACCAGGTTATATAATGACCCAAATTATTTGTTCTAGCTTCATTACTGCCACCATGGTGAACTGGTTTTTAAGATAAGATTCAGAGCATAGCGATGAAAGAATTCTCTCTTTATGTTATGTGGAAAAACTTCAATATATTAGAAGTTACAGCAATAAGAATAAAACTACAGAGGTATAATGAAACTGCTCAGGGTGTGACTTCACAAACAGAAACCTGGGATTCTGTGTGTGGGGAACAATGTAGTTTTCACATCCCAACTGATTTTGAAGCAGTTTTCAATTCTTCATGTAACCTGTGCACTTCTTACACAGGCACCTGTATCTATGTACGTATATATTCTATATACAAGTGAAATACAAAGTCACTGAGACATATTAAACTTTATAATGCTGTTTTCACAACAAAGCATCATAAACAATCAGCGTAGAATAGTTCGTGGCAACCTATTTTTGTAGTATGATAAACTTACTAAACTTCTAAACTGTTCACAATGCTGTTTAAATCTGTTCCTCTATTTTATCTGTTTCATGGTACCTATGATCACTGAATTCAGATGTATGGGAAAGTTATTTGAATTTGATCCTACCTCCAAGCATTTTGTAAGTTTTCTGGTTGTGAAGGAACCAGCTCCAGTTGCCAAGGCACAGCATCACTCCCAAATCTTTCATGGAAAGATAACAGCAATTAATTTTCAGATTATGCTTTAGAACAAGTAAAAATATAGAATTCATTGAAAAATAAAAACCTAATTTGGAGTATTATGTATGTAAAATTGACTGATGCTAACTATTTTCTATTTCAAATCATTTAATTATATTTATTCATCACTCAGGTGGTGTCAGATTTTCAAGGTCGTGGGCCAGATTACATTTTTCTTTCCTGAACTGGATCTTTAAGTGAGATGGTAAAAGCTCAGTGGAAAGATAGTGACAAAAACCCCCCAACGCTCAGATGCTGCCTGTATCTCTCTTGTGAGATAAGGGCTCTGTTCTCCCACCAGGTTTGCAACTCCATGAGCTTCTGTCGTTTGCTTTTACTTGCCAGAGAGAAACCCACCCAGCTACTGCTCAGCAGCTGTGCCATACGTTTCTGACTACCAGTCTTGAGTACAGAATTTTAGTACTACTACAGACTAAAAAGTATTGGAATTACTGTGAAATTTGAAGGGCATTCTCAGTTACAGTACCTGAGAGACCAAAATCCTCTTCCAGTGAGTTTCTGACACGTGAATTAATACTGTTATGAATGATATGGCAGGATGAAAATTGATTACAGGTACAATGCAATCAGTTCCAGTGAGCCTCACCCAAAATAAGTCATTTTTAATTACTAATCTGGCCTCCATACATGTGACCCATGCACTTATGCAATAAAAATGAATCAGTGCTACTCTTGCAATTACTTTATCACAAAACATTACATACAATTAAAAAATCTAAAGTATATCCATTAGTAACTACAATCTCTCAGCATACTTCTTTCTCTGTAATGTGTTGCAATTATTTTAGAAGAATCTTAAATAGTTGCTTACGCTATAATATTGAAGTAATCCTTATTTGACATTTGTTCCTCAAGTAAAAGTCGCAAACAATGCTGGATGTGGATGATGTACATAGAGTTTGTCACTGATATATCAACAAGTATAACCACCCTATATAAGAAATATATTATTAATTTTAAAAAAAGAATCTTATTTAATTACATATTCTTCACTGTACTCTAACTTGACAGGGAAAGTATCTTCTAGCTATGCATCAAAATGTATAAACACTGAATACATATTTTAAAAAAATCTGAAAAACATAAGGTGGGATTTGAAAAAAAAGAGTAACAATAATAGAAAATTATATTTTTCTTAAGCTATGCAGTTATCAGGGTATGGGCACATGTAGTGCCATAATGGCTGTTGTACCCTAAACAGGTCCTTTTTCTTCTCTGTACTTGAATATCCAAAACACGCCTGAAAAGTGTGGATGTTATCCAACAAGAAGAGTTGTTGGGCAGTTCACTGTCCTTTCCCCAGTCATCATTTCAGGAATGTATGTAGTATTACTCCAAAGATAAATGGTGAGTTTTCTCCCAGCAAGTCAGTGACAGACTGGTTATTCAGGTATGGACTGACTGATGTTATCTGTCACATTACCTGTTTTGAGAAAAACTTAATGATGACCTTCTTCAGTATGGTCAGTATTGAGTCTTGCTTGCAGAGACAATGCAGGATGGTTACAGTTAATGGACAGGGGATATCTTAGGAGCAGTGGTTATGAAAAGAATCACGGATGTAATGGACAGTGGGACATGAGTTCCCAACACAATACAGTGGCCAGAAGGGCTAATTCAATCCTTGATCAATGAAAAAGAAAATATCTAGTAACAATGGTCTCAGCTATCTTCCTTTTGTCTGAAACTTCATATTCAAGGTTTGTGAACAGGACAAAAAGAGCAATTGTGCACCTGAGATTGGGTGGGACATCTCCAATAAAGGCCTCACAATGTAAATAAACATCATTCTCAAATACATAATCAGATGAAGACCTCAAACTTCATGCAGGAAAAAAGAATCTTAGTTTTTTGAGTATATCTGCACTGACATTTGTCATCTGGCAAAGAATGCACTTCAAGTGGTGGAGGCAGGTGGTAGTTGGTAGGTTGAATCTCTTCTTCTGATAAGAACCCATTAGACGCTGGGCAAGAAACGCTCTGAGCATAAACACTAACAGCACAGGTTTGGAAAGCTGACTGTAAATGCTACCTTTGGCCAGAAACATCAGTTCTGTTTGTATGTGATTTAAGATAGAACATTCCCCAGAGTTAGATAACTCAAATTGAAAAATCTCATCCTGCCGTATGGAAATTGCAGTTTTGTGTTGACGGATGATCATCCAATTCAGTAAACTGACTGGACTGTTAAAAAAGCTGAGTATCAATGTCTGTTTTCAAAAGTGGATTGCTTACACTGGTCATATCTGCAGCTGTTGTCTCTACATCTGACTATGCCCTGTACGCCTTGGTGCTGACTTACACACAAAGCAAAGGCTGGCAAACTAGAACCATGACCAATACACAAAAAAGGGCCATCAAAGTATGATACCTCCTTTCACAAACACTTCCCCATATTCTTCTGCTAGCAGCAGACAGCCAGTCAATTCGATTCTCATAGATTCTTACCATTTTAGCAAGGAGTTTCTATGGATAAAATATAGAAAATTTAAGTTAAAAATAAGAAGTTCAAGAAAGCCCTTTATTGCCAAATGTTTGATACAGAAATAACATGACAGCACAGTAATGAAAAAAGTAATGGTTTTCATTCATTTTGACAGCAGCATTTCATTCTTAGTAAAGATAAGAGAATACAGTCCATGACAAAAACTTACAATGATAGAAAGCCAACAGAGAGTCTAAAGGTCTAAACTCTCCTCCTCACATTTCCTCTTGCTAGCATGTCCCAAAATAGCAGTCAAGTACATTAAAAAAAAAAAAAAAAAAGCTCACCTACCAGAGAAACTCATGTCACAGTATAATTTTTTAATCACTTATTCAACCAGTCTTCTGGATTATTTAATCGTTTAAGATCAAATGTATCTCAGATTCATCCCTTGCCTTGACTCTCTTTCCTACACATCCAAGGGACTAGGCTGCTACAACAAAAAGAGGCTCTGGTTTGCTGCTGTTACGTGCCTTTGCACATACTTTCATATCACACAACATCTTTCAAGTCATGCAACAACCATCCAAGCTTGCTCCTACACTACTTCCTAGAATGTTCTTCTAATGCCTTGAGTCTTTTCTGGTCTAGCCAGTAACAATTACACATTCTTCTTCATAAAACTTGTTTAAGAAGAAATAAAACAAAATACAAACTTTTTTTTTTTTTAAATGGTTAAACCAAGATGAAATGGGACAGTTCTGTTAAAGCAAGTGGGAGTACCCTATTGCGTTGTATCCTTTCAATGTACAGACTAAAGGACTTACACATACATGGGTAGAATAATGTAAATACGTTCTTATGCATAGATTGCAAAATGCACACTGCTGTATTTATGAGCAGCACAGATGGACACTTTTCTCTTATTTAGCCTCCTTCCTCACTACCATAAGAATCTGGATTCCAAGTCTGACCAGATCACTGCAGACTTACACAGACAGCTGCCTGCACATGAATCCCTGCAGTGCTTATCTATTAGAATCTATCAGGCCAATTAATGTGGAATAATTAATCTAGCCCAGACAAGGCCACATAACTACAGACAACTCACCTGATAGTTGTATAATACTGGCAGGTCAACGTGGATATTTTTCACAGTTCCATCATACCATTCAAACTGCATCATCGCTTTCTAGGAGGGTAAGTAATACACTTAGGTGTTTACAGAAGCCTATGTAAGCTCCACTAACATGGAATTCCTTCCTGAATCATTCTTAAAAATGGCATAAGTATCTGATCTGAATCTATGATTTGAATCTCAGTTAAAGCCTGTAGAAATTCGCTAACTTATAAAGTACTGAGTTAATTAGAAAAATGTAGCCCCAAAAAGAAAAGAAAAAAACCCAAACAACAACAACAAAAAGAAAGGGTCTTTATCACTTACCTCGTGTAGAGTTGATGACACTGTTTTTTTAAGAATAGGTACAAATCCTTCCACGGGAGAGAAGGCATTGGGAGCCAAAACTTGATAAAGGTTTAACTTTTTAGCTATAGCAAGGAACAAAGAAATTAAATAAAACACATGCTCCTTATTTTATGTTTCATACCTGTTAAGCTCTTCTTTTTGTGCTACCTTTCAATCCATTTGTCTTTAACCAGTCTGTTGAGGTTTTGGCCAGGACGCATGGTGTTTGAATAACTAATGGTCCTTCATGCTTTGGAGGCTTTAGTAAGAAGTTGGAGGGTGCTGTATTTGCAAATTCTCTGGAAACCTAAAATGGATTTGAAGAAAAACTCTTGCAAGTTTTAGCATTTTTTACCCTCAATCCAAAATATCCAGTGTGGAATATTAGTTCTACTTATCTTCACCGAAGTGCTGGGATTTCAAGAAGCAAAATAGCTCTCATTGGTCCTCCTAAAAATGGGGCTTGGAGGACAATGGTCCATTAACTTACTGTGTTTGCCACAATGCAAAAATGCACAGGGAAATGAAAACATGAAAACATCATGGTTCCACATACTGGCATGAAAAAAGCCAATAATTTCTCTAAGAAAAGTAAGTAGGAAACGGATCTTTGTTACACATAAATCAAATCTCAACTGCTTCATTTTCTACCTGCACCAAGTCAAAGGAACCATATTCTGTCTTCATTCTTACCAATGGAAATGAGTCAACAAAAATTCCTATGGGGCACTAGAATTCCTTTACTTCAAAAAGGGTAAGAGACCTTTTTCTCTGAATGGACAGAAGTTGGAAATATTTTTTCAAACAGAAGGTGAGACTACTCAGTTTCAGAAATGACATGCTTTGATTTGGGGATACAGGACCTTCTAAGTAATTTCAGGGTGACTTCTGATTTACATGTAGTCGATATGGTCCTTAGTAATTATGAGTTTGGAAGAGAGATGAAAGAATTCTATACATATGGAATAGGGAGGATGAGGGGAAACAGAGTTAGAAATATTATTCACAAATGACCAGTTTGGCCTCTGTCTGGAACATCTCGGGGCAGATGACCATATACCCAAGGATACCCAATGGAAGCTTTCAACTCCTCTTTCAGATCAGATTTGTCCACCTCACACAACACCCTACAGTAGCTGTGACAGAGAACAGATTTTTGCTAACAAAAAAAATTCCTCACAGATTTGTAAAACTGTACTGCCAAATTTCTGGCATTAAAGTTGAGCAACCATATGTGAATTAGCCACTTTCTAAAACCCCAGGTCCCTAGAAAGTACAGAGATGAGACTAAGGCAGAAGCGATGCCTATTTCCACTTAAGACTATCTGCACAAGGTGAGAGATAGACACAAGTAAATAATCTCTACTAGCTCAAAACAGAACTAGAAATTATCAAAGCATTCCAAGAAAAAAAAAGAAAAATAATAGGAGATTCTTTTTCTTTCCCATTCCTATTTCATCAAGAGCACTCAGAAGTTGCTTTATTGGAGAAAAGCCAAACAAGGTAAGAACCTCTGGTATGTCAAGTCAACAACACATAAAACCAGAAACATTACCATGGCAATTGTTACAGACCAAACAATGCCAGTAAGACAGGACCAACAGAGATGTGTAACAGACAGACTGTAGCTTCCTAACTTCAACACTAGTAATGGATTATGATTTTGAAACTGATTTAATTGTCCACCTTCAACAGCTGGGAGTAAGTATGTCTGTACTGTTGGAACTTCTTTTAAATAATCACGTATATGGTTAGGTCAGAGATTCTTTAGATTTCCATTATGATCATGGTACAATGTTCTTTTCATCACATTTGGATTGGTTTATAAAACTTGCTGCGTTTTGGAGAATGTTTAGCAAAATGTCTCCTTAAGGCCTGGTTTTGGCCTTAATTTGCTCTTATAATGGACGGCCAATATATAATATTAACTTATCAAAATACTTGATCATATGTATTTTTTTTCATATTGTAAACACTAAAAAATTCTACCCCTGATAGTTCAAAGCACATCTGAAAATGAAAAGTATACATACATCTGTTATTCTACTAATAAGTGAGCCACCAATTCTTTGAACAGTCTGTTTGATGCTCTTGAGTAGGTTCTTAGCCTTCTGGGATTCCTGAAGTAGCAAATGAACATCACTGCTATCAAAATTCTGTACATATAAAAACAAAGGGGGAAAAAAAAAGTTAACTACTATTCAAATACCAACCAAACACAGCTTTCTTACTTTGATGTGCATGCATCTATACAAGACTGCCTAACATAGCAAAATTGAGTGTAAATGTATCTAATGCACTGCACATAAGCTATTAATCATTTTATAAATGAGATATTATTGTATTATTTTGAATCAGTCTACAATAAGACACTGCTTTCACCCTATACATCATCTTTAAGTCAGTGAATATTACCTGCAAAATTTATTGTGCTTTTAGGAAAGCTTTTTCAGTTGCGAAAAGAATTAAACACAGGTTTATTGACCACATCCTCAGTACTTCTATAACAGAGACTTTCAGCACCAGGTCTTGCTACAAATTTCTCAGATGATAACTCATTTACCTTCTAGAAGTGAAGAATCATCAAAAAGAGAGAAAAATGCATTGCCTCTCTAGGTGTCACCTACCTCTCCCTTTGAAGAGTAACAATGATAACAGCCTCTTACAGCTTCTGCAAGGTTCTTTAGAACTGCCTACATATACAAATAGGAAGGAAAAGTTACTTTGATTTGGTAGTCTCTTTTGATAACATGGGTTACTTCTATTCAAGTCTCGGTTAGAGACAAAGAAGGAATCTATGAGGTACATGTAGTGAGAAAGCCAAATTAATTGTTTCCATTGTTTTCTTAACAGTCTTATTTTAACATGGCTGAAAAACTAACTCAGTAGTAATGCACAAAATAGGCAGTAAGCTTCAAATTCGTTTACCTTGTGTTAAAATGCCAGTCACTTTCTGCTCCTTTGAAGGCAGGACCATGCTAGTCAGATCAAAGGCATATCACTGAAGTCTACAAGTATAAACATTAGGCTATCCTTTCCCAGCCCACAATTACCTCGTAACACCTTTGCTGCTTTTTTTCACCTCTCCCATCTCCTCTCCTACCATCTACCACTGCAATCCTTTTTCCCACAACTACAATGCCCTTACTACATCTAGTCTTCTCTTACCAGGATTTCATCTGTGTCCTCCCTGCCACTTAAGTCACTATATGCCTTAGGGATAAGCTTAAACAAGCAATCAACACCTAAAACCGTTTCTATGTAGAAGTTAATCAAAAGTAACTGCTTATCCTTCTGTTCTCCTCTTCTTTCAGGCAGTCACTGGTAACATCCAAACCATTGTTCATGATCAACACTGTCTGAGCAAGGCTGATAGGTCTTGCATTGATGCTACTCCATACAAAAATACTCCTGTGCCAGAGACTGACATACTCAAATGATCTCATTCCCAAGTCCCCGTCTTTCTCCTGCGATCCCTCTCACTACCCACTCATCCTTACTGCAATATTGCCTACCTGAAGTCCCCTAATTTTCCTCTTTGACCTGCAAAAAGCTCTTAGATTCTTCTGTAAACACACAGGATGATTATCTGGAAATATCTGTTTCCCTTTAGCTGCCAACCACTTGGTTACCACTTCTGGCTTTGGTATGAACCAAGACGAACACTCCAAACTATTTTTTTCATGTGTGCAAATCTGCTCTAAAGAAAATACAACTTTAGATCAAGAACTCTTTAATGAGTAAGGTAGCTTCCCCACAAGTTTAGGGGAAAAGACATTGCAGCTGAATAGGAAACAAATGACAAGACACTTAAGCAAGTATTAACAACATTACTTACAAGAGAAGCAGGATTGCTGCAATCATATGTAACAGCATGAGTCTGCAGTTTTCTCCCCAGCATACACTGCTGAGCATAGCCAGACAATATTTCCGAAGACTGATCAGGGCTGATAAACAAACAAACAAACAAACAAATAAATGGGGAAAAAAGATCTTGACAATGGCAGTATTCAAATGGGGGAAGAAGGCAGTGCTGAAGAAGACAGGGAAGAAAACGAAGTGGGAAAGAAATAACAAATCATGGGAATTTATTAATTTATCATAACTTGACCTCCTGTTCCTATTTGAACAGTTACTTGAGGTACCACTACTGAGCTTTTGTTCCGTCCTGAAAACCTGAACGATAATAAAAGCACTAAGATTCTATTCCAGTTCATAACACCTTACAGATTAAATGTTCTAAATTATTCCTTGCTAGCCCTGGAAGCTAAAAATCAGGATCTGTGGTTTTGCCTCCTGTGACAAACTGTGATAGAAACATTTTCAACTCAAATCTTCAACTGTATGTAAGGATGTCCATTATCTTCCATAGGCATGAAAGAAAATAAAACTTTGCATTGTGTTTAGAATTTAGTGACCCACACAGGTTTAATTCCCCGAGTTCTGATGGTTCTTCATGGCTAGTAAAAGCCTTTCCTTGCAGCTACAATTCTGCCAGAGAGAGAAATTAAGGAAGTTTTCACTTGTACATACTAAAAACTTTTGCTTTCTGTTCAAAGCAGACCTAAGCAAAACTTGGAACCTTCTAACTGAACATTGTGTGTCCAGCACAATAGGTGAAATGTTATCTCAATCACCCTAAATATCAAGCTTGCCAAGCTTACACCATACCTTTTTAGCATGTTTAAAATAAATATAAGGAATAAATTAGGAGTAGAGTAACACTCCCAGAATCCTTACCGTGGTGTTTTTCTTGTAATCCTGACTACTGCAAGTTTTCAAATTATGACATCAGAACTGCAGAATTTAAGTTCATAATTTATCTAATCTCAGCCTGGTTTCATTTATTTAATCAGAAATTTTAAGTTTTCCATCAGCACCAAGATCCCAGAGAGAAGACTATCTCTGAATGCTTGAAGTTATTTTACAGCAAAATCTAGCTCATCATCTAATCTTCCCAGAGGTGTGGACCTTTTCAATGACATCCTTAATGATGCTGAAGGATTTTTACTGATGTAGCATCAGACCTAGCAGACTCTCAATGGATTACTGCAATAACTGATCTGCAAAGGAAAAATGTAGCTTCATATCAGAAAAGAGAAGATTTAAAAATATTTTTTAAAGGGAGGAAATAATGGAAATCACTGCTATGAACTAAAAATATATAAAACCTGGATCTTAAGTTTTTCATTTATTTTTGTATCAAGTTCAGATTCGTGTACCAATTCTGTATGTAAGTTAAAGCTGGTTGTTAAAATAGGTAACAGATTTACCAGCTTCCTACAATAAGAACCAGAGAATTCAGTTCTTTCACCATAAGGACATGTTTCAAGGCTTTCAGCAAATTGCAGCCTTGACCAGGCTCCAGCTGTTGTATCCACTGCCTTGCTTCATGTAGCCTAGGGGAAAAAAAAAGGAATATGTACACTTAACATGCAGGTGCTCAATGACATAGATCATGAAGATTACTACAAACTGCAGAAGCTGCTAAGATATTTTATGCATAAGCAACCAGCTTGAAATCGTGGACTGCACTTAAATTCATTAGGTTTTTTCCCTCTTACAAATCACTGCAGGCACAAGATGAAACACAGTATTTATTATCTAACAGAGATTGCTCTAATTAAATGGAGACCTTGTTTGAAACACCTTTATTTTCAGAGAAATAAACTTAACTTACACATGAACATTGATGGTTTTTGGACTCTCCCACAGAGGTGAAATTTCTGTACTGAATGAGAGGCAGTACAATTGCTTCTTATAACATAGCTGTTCATCTATTAAGGACTATAAGCAAAAAATTATTAATGCATTACTATCCATGCTGCTTCTAGTCAGGTTATTATGTAAAGAAAAAGAAATAGCAATTTCCTAACAATAGTTGACAGCAATATTTTCAGCTATCACAGAGAAAAGCTTCCAAGAAAAAGTGACACAGAGAGAAAGCCTGCAAACCTATGGTAATCCAGCCAATTTGTTAATAGCCCAGGAGGCAAGGAGTATCTGTTGTACTGGTATGAGTTTTTCTCTTCAGTTCTTGAGCACACAAAACAACATACTGATCTAGAATGGGCATATTCACTCATCAAGCAGTTAATAAAAAATGTTTAATACATATTCATTGATAGGGCTAAGTAATAGTTCAGATATTAAGGCTAAGTCAACCAGACTACATGGAACTCGAGTTTTCCTGAAGTAGTTTTTTTTTTTTTTAAATGCACAAATGAAAAAAGCAGATAAATAAAATTTAAATAATTCCTGAATGCAGGAAATTAAATTGTACAAAGTTTCAAAGTTAGTAAAACAGTCACATTATATCTTCCTTCCTTACCACAAAATATGATAAAAATACAGAGCACAATAAATGACAAGTTTCTTTGGGGACTTGAGGAAGTGATTAACTCACTGAGGTTCTGTGACAAAACATAATGGCATAAGGAAACTATAAATAGCTCTATGTAGAACTTGGTTCTAGATCTTAACAGCTGGTTCTGTTAGTCAAGTTTATTTCACAGAGAATGCAGGTACAAGAACTGAGAAATTTCTAAATATTAATACAAAAAGTATTATTATTAGGATACATACTGGAGTTTGTTTGCATTTAGACATCAACAAAGACTACATTTTCAAAGACATTTAAAACATACTTTACTACAACAGAAAACTTCTATTGTATTGTATATTATGAATTTAAGCAGATCTTTTTCTTCCTAGTTCCTGGCTTGTAGTTACAAAAAGGCTTGAATAGTATGCTACAATTGCCAAAGTCTGCTTTATTCTTACTTACCAAAAGGTCCTTCTGAAAATCCCGTAGTCTAGGTCCATGACTCATACTGGACACATCAACCACAAGTCCGACTTTGGTTCCTTTTATGAGGCCAAACACCTTAAAAGAGAAAAGTCATTGTAAATACTAAGCTTATCTGAAGTTTAAAGATGTTACAGTTTATTCTGTACAATACCATTTTAAAATCAAATATTAGGTATCTATTTTCACTTTAAGCTTTTTAGCATAAAAATGACACAGTGAGAAAGCCAAGAAAAAAACAAAGAGAATTACTAGTTTATATTTACCAGTGAGTCATACTTGCTCCTTGCCAAGACAACCTATTCATTATTTGAGAGGATAAAAAAATAACTTTGTCTACAGCATCTCCTTCAGGTTAAATCAAGCAACTTAGTGGAAGCTAGATTTTGAAATGCTGCTTCTTTCTCTATCCCCTTCAAGAGCGAGCTATGTCTCTTTCCCATTCCTGAGCATTAGCACTGCTAGGCACAGTAAGTGATTAACCAGCTGTGCAAGAGAGGGCACAATGAACAAGACAGCTCCACTTCAGACTGAGAGTGTGCTGCTCAGCATTGTCTCCTCCCGTTTAAATCACACTGAGAGGTCCTGATGATTAAGACTGCCAAGAGAAAGAAAAGCTAGATCTAGAAAGCAGAAAACTGCATACCAATGAAAAGATCAAGAAAATCCATTGTGCACATGATGTGTAACTCACAGTAAATAAAGAAAATACATAAGCTTTCTGGAAGCTGTTTTTCACTAGCATTCAAAAGTTAATTTATTCCTTAATGCCGTATACAGTTTCATTCTAAAAATATACTGCAAAGTTAAAGTTACCTTTCTGCTGTCCTGCAACAGCCACTGAATTCGCTGCTGATAAAGTTCAATCACTCTGACAAAAGGCATAGCACACATTTAGCTAAGGCATTCTCTTGCATTGTGTATCAATGTAACATTCAACAACTAGTCTCCATCACATGCTTTTTCTTGCAGATACAAAAATCACATTTTAAAAATACTGTTTTCAGTGTTCTCATACAACTGGTTGGTTGCAGGGCTAACCATTTAAGCACTTCTTCCCCTAAAGCTGTTTGACTGATTAGATATGTAGCTGTCTGAAAAAACAGGATCACTGAAATGTCTTCTGATCAGTTGCTGGCTATTCTGTTCAGAGACAGGAGAGGGGTATTTACCACCTGTATGTGTGAACAACAGAAGCTTGGGCAAAACTGAGTTTACACATTCATTACACATAGGTTATTGTGAGATGTATTAAATAAAAAACGCATTGTTGCTTAAGACACTCATGAAATCTAAAATTGTGATTGAAAGGCCACACACTCACTGAAGTGCTGGACTAACTGCAGCACAACTTTCAATAATTCAATTGCAAAATAGGTATAACCTGAGGTAAAACAAAGTTTTCTCTCCTCCAAAACTGTTTTACTTCAATTTATTTTTAATACCATATGCCTAGATTTTACAATTTGGCAAACAGAAAATTTAAATCGGTGTTCAAGGGGGGAAAACCTTTTTGCTTTTCCAAAACACAAAAGCTGCTTCTTTTTTTAAACCAAATTAGCAGATGGTTTGCTTAGATAGTGCAGGGCCTAAGTACTGAAGGAGAACCTTCTGAAGATTCTGGGTCTTCATGACTGACACAGGGATGATGCTGAAGTAGTGGCACTCCTAGGAACAGTCTAACAAGTATTGTGAAGACCACCAAAAACATTATGATTACAAGCTTATTGAACCTATTGTTTTCCTCAATTTAAGCTCCCATGACTTTATATATCTAAAATTCACTTACAAAACTTTTAACTTCCATAAATCATGTCTAAATTTGTGACCTGAAACTAATTCAAGTTACAGTAAACATAACCCACAAATACACAGTATTACCTGTGCACTACCTGCCTTTCTAAAATGAGCTAACTGCTTCAGTTCCAAACCTGGCTGATACGAATCTTCATTAAAAAAATAAAAAGCTGTAGTGACATATAATTATTACCTACCCTAAATCTCAGCAGAAAGGATTTAATGCTGAGATACTCTGAAGTTCTCAGAGATAACAAATTAAGACTTAAGGCAGTACCTGTAATCATGGGGGATGGGGATACAGAATCAATTACGCATCAGAATCATAAACAAGATGGATACTTACTCAGAAAGCCTGGACTCAAAATCGTTAACAGTCTCTTGTGTAAACTCTATCTCTTCAACATCATTTCTTGAATTCCTGGAACACTATGCATAATTAGCATCTGAGATGCACGAAAATTAGGACTGACTAAAGAAAGGGCAGTGTTGCACTTACAAAATAATATTGCCTTCGTTTAGCAGATGCTCTAATGTTAATTGCAAGGATTCCAAACTGTAGTTTCTTAGCCATTCTTCTGTGGTTTGCACCTTTTTAGACTGTATTTTCTTCATTTGCACTCTCTATAGATCAAATAAATAAAAAAATTCAATGCAGCATGAGAAATTAAATGTGCTGTTCAAATGTGACAAAAATGTAAGTCCTAAGGATAGCTGCTGGTAGGCAGTGCATATCCAAGAACAACATAATTTTAGGTACTGGCATACTCTTCTGGATGTGGGATGCAAAGGAAAATAAGGTTTCAGAACACTCTCAGAATGTGAGCTAAAGGAAGGGGAAGGAGAGCTTAGTTTGAAGGAGACAGGAAGGAACACAAGAAATAGGAGAGTTTAAAAGAAATAAACACCCCAGTGATTTACCAGAGAGGAAGAAAAACTAAGCATCTCCAAAACACACCTCACAGTGTTTTAAAGGGTATATATTGTCTTCTGCTTTTCTAAGTAAAAATGCAGTATCAACAGTTGATCTACCTTTATTGTTTTGCCCGATTTGTTCACAGACTGATTAATCTCTGTGGAGAAACTATATGTAATTTCACAACTTCAGTGAAATATTTATGAAGAAACGTATCAGTTGTCTATCAGCCTAATTTTTCCCCACTCTGCATTTGTAGGGGCTATGTGTTACTTTTCTAGTTGCTCCATTTAGCAGGAAAACTTGCCTACCAGCAGATCTTGGGTCTTATTGATATGCATTACCAGCAATCCATTATCTGGTCCTAGATGAGACATAGTAACATCTTGCCATGGTGGATGATCACCCTGTAGACTGTATTTTGTGGTCACCCTAAAAGACAATTAATTTCATGGGATGACTTAATTACCCATAATATTCCTGCATTGTTATAAAATCTTCTCAAGTTTTTACTGTACGAACTGTTTTACACTTTGACATTTGTTTACACATTCCATTTGATATACGATAAATGTTTTGAAGGGACATAGTACATAGCTTACATGAGCTACAGTTATTTACCCTGTATCTACATCTGAAGTCCCAACAAGGTTTTCTAACAGTATCCTCACCCAACTTTTTCCAAAAACTGATCATTGTCCAACAACTGTGCCATATTCCTGATGCGTGTATCCATTATATGAATAGACTCAACCTTGTTAAAAAAAGCAAAAAGACAAAGTATTAGAGCAAAAAGCTTAAATCCTCAGGAATATATGCTATAAAACAAATTATTAATACTGTCAGCAATTTATAAGTACATGTTTTTTAATTTGCTTTGGGACAACAGCAATTTAAAAACCGGCTGCGCAGAGGAGTTACAACTGCCCATCTACAGAAAACCCCTTTAAGAAGGGTTCTGCGGGGGCCGTTTGCCAGGGGCGGGCTGCTGGGAGCCTGGCTACAGCCCGACCGCAACGCGAGGTTAACCAGGGCAAACCCCAGAGCTCCCGGGCGAGGCGGCCGGCAGCGGGACTCAGCCGGGCTTCGAGCCGCGGGGATGGGGGCGCGTAGGTGAGCTGCCCTTCGGGTTTAGGCGCAGGATGACCGGAGCATAAACGATCCTAAAATCCTGCTTCGCACTTGCCTGGGCTCGGCCGCCGGCACCCCTGCCCGCCCCTCACCAGCGGGTGTCCGAGACTCTCCTCACCTCAGGGGGCGAAGGGCCCTCAGCCCCACGGACCCCGCGCCCTCCCGTCCCCAGAGACCCACCTCACCGGGGAAAGGGCGCCCCGTCCCCGTCCTCCCTCCC